TATAATAAAACTCAATTTTTTTATAATCTTACTTTAAATAAATCATCTTGATCGGATTTTAATTGTTCAAGTTCATCAGCAATTTCAACGTTAATAGAAAAAGACAATAAGTTAATACAACTGTCGAATTCCATACATAATTCTTTAAAAATTTTCTCAACACTTTTCTCTTTAAGGTATTTTATCAAAGTTTTCATTAGAGAGATTTCTGATATAAATTTTTTAATTTGCGTTATAATAGTAGATAATTCTTGTAAACGTATATAATTTATTTTATTAAAAAAATCCTCTCTGTCTTTTCTTTTATCTCTAAGATCTCGTACGGCTAATTGTGCAACACGAACTCGATTTTTTAATATTTCACAAGTTCGTTTATTGTGTTCAGCAGCTTCTACTAATTCGATGATTTCGTTAAAAAAATTTCCAATTTCATTAATTAAAGGAAGAAATTTTGCAAATGGAACAAACATGAAAGCACTATCTTCAGTAAAACTATTCTTTTTTGATCCATTATCTTCCATTTCTAATATTTATAATGATTTAATAAATAATTTAATCAAAAAAAAAAGAGATTTTTTATTGTAAAAAAACTACAAAACTCCGGTTTATTGCTTAATGTATATGCTGTGTTACCATTGTAATCCAACTTTTTGTTGCGTTAGGAATCATACGATAATTTACGACAATAAAATATTTCTAATAAATTTGGAGCACGTAAATGGGTATGTATACGTAATACATTATCTTTTATTAGATATTTTTCGTTACACTTATTACATTGAGATAACGATGTAAATGAATTCATGTTACACAATTTGATGACCTTTATAAAATCAGGTCCTCACCAGCGCGGAAAAAAAGCCTGAAAAGTTTCGGAAAAATTCCGGTAAAGCATAAAAATTCCGGATATTGGCTTTTTTAACCGGTATACATTGTCCGAAATTGAAAAATTGAACAAAGCAAACTATAAATTTTTAGGAAATCCGGATAGATTTCCCCCGCTCATCTGCATACATAGATAAATGCATGTTATTTCTAAAAATGAGAACCAATCATAATTTTATATGATTCCATAAAAAAAAACTAATTAACCCGACAGTTGCATCATTTTCTTACACGACTATGTATGTACAGTAACTTTTTATGCGATGAAATAGATAATCACGTAACTTTGAGAATATTAAATGGATGCAGTAAGCGTTAAAATCAAATAATCTATTAGTTAAATAAAAACTAGGAAACGGGAACCGTTGTAAGTCCGGAGCGAAAAACCAAAATTGCGGTTTCATTGGGTGGCGATCAAGTTGCGGACAGAGAAATTCACGTGATCGATTTTTTTTTTCATAGTGCGTAGACATACTATATTGTCCTCCGGACAATGACAAATAAAAAAAAAAATTTTTTTTTTTAGCTAAATAACGTAATAATTTAATGAATAATAATAAAAAATTTTCAGAACTTATATTCATTACGAAATCTAATAGCAGCTTCGTAACCATTATAAACAGCTAATTCTATATAATTCTTGGCTTTTTCTATATTTTTTTTACATCCAACACCATTATAATACATATTTCCAACGTTGTACATTGCTACTACAACACCATCTTCAGCAGCTTTTTCAAAATATTTAAGAGCTTCTGATTCATTCTTATCAACACCTTTACCATTAAACAAACAATCTCCATATCTTACTCTTGCTTCAGGGTATTCATTTGCTTCATCATCAGCAACTTCTTTAAATAATTCAGCAACAATTTTATCTTTATTTGGAGGGCTCCCAGCCAATCCTCTTGAAATGTAAACTGCTTTATAATATTTTGCTGTGATTTGATTACGGTTTGCTGTACCTCCTGTATTACCAAGGTTTGCATAGGCTTCAAAACATTTATATGCAGTTTTTACATCTCCACTAGGCCTGCCATTTTTATACAACTTATGTTGTTTCGCTGCATCAGCAAGTGTCATGTATTTAAATGATTCAAAATCTAAATTAATAGGTAGTGCATATGCATCTTGATCAATGCTGAATGCTCGTTTTGGAATAAACTTCGGAGTGGAGGGTTTTCTGTCTAGGGTTAAATTACAAAAACTTGATGGTTCTTGTGAATATTTCTTGAAACAATTATTAAGAACTTCAAACATTTTCGAGATTTTTGGCCTAAAATCTGGGTCATGATGAACGGCTAATAAAATATGTAAAAAAAGAAACCAATTAAGTACAACAAATAAAATTGTAATTTAAAATATTTTCTTTTACATACCTTCAATTTCTAATCGCTCGAATTCTTCTGGCATTTGACTATTTTCGGAAAATGGTTCTCTATACATTTTATTACGTACCTTATCAATTATATCCCCAATATCATTACTATCTTGATATGGAACTCTTTCTTCAGCAATTTCCCAAAGTAAGATTCCAAAACTATAAATCTCACATCTTTGATCATATTTATAATTTGGCGGCCTATCCAACAATTCAGGTGCACAATAACGAACTCGTTCAAAGTTTGGGTTAGCGTGTCCGCCGTGTCGGTAACGAATTAATTTGAAATTTGCAAGTATTGCTGTCTCATTAAGTGTAATTAATATATTTTCAGCTCTAATATCTCGATGAAAAATCTAAAAAAAAAAAACAATTAAAAAAAATTTCGTTATTAAAATAAAAGCTGGTTCATGTCTATCATCACTTTCATAATCAGAAAATTTTAATGGATGTATCTGAAAGATATTATCAATTTTTGTTTGATTTTGAGAAGTTTCATTCATAAATTTTTTCATTGTATTATTCATTACATCAACTTTTACAACTGTTGAAAAAAACTTTTCACTTAAGTCTGCGAAGCAGTCGTCATCATTAATACCAGCCACCATTCCTAGTATATACTATAATTATTAAATAATTTAAAATTAATTTTATGTTCAATTAAATTATAATAAAACTCAATTTTTTTATAATCTTACTTTAAATAAATCATCTTGATCGGATTTTAATTGTTCAAGTTCATCAGCAATTTCAACGTTAATAGAAAAAGACAATAAGTTAATACAACTGTCAAATTCCATACATAATTCTTTAAAAATTTTCTCAAAACTTTTCTCTTTAAGGTATTTTATCAAAGTTTTCATTAGAGAGATTTCTGATATAAATTTTTTAATTTGCGTTATAATAGTAGATAATTCTTGTAAACGTATATAATTAATTTTATTAAAAAAATCTTCTCTGTCTTTTTTTTTATCTCTAAGATCTCGTACGGCTAATTCTGCAACACGAACTCGATTTTTTAATATTTCACAAGTTCGCTTATTGTGTTCAGCAGCTTCTACTAATTCGATGATTTCGTTAAAAAAATTTCCAATTTCATTAATTAAAGGAAGAAATCTTGCAAATGGAATAACCATTAAAACATTATCTCCCAAATTTTCAGCGAAATCATCTTTTTTATTAGTTTTTGATACATCATCCATTTCTAATAATTTATTAATTAATAATTTAGTGGAAAAAAAATTTTTTTTTTTTTACGAAACTACAATCATCGTTTCATTTATTCATGTATGTGTGTATTACCATTGTGATCAGAAATCCCACGCACAATATATATTTATAAATAAATCAATAGCACGAAATATCATATATTCATGTTGCACTGTTATCAAAAGCAAATACTGCTACACAAAAGAAATGTATTCGTGTAACCGTTATGTTTAAATGGTTCAGCCCAATAGTTTATTAGTAGTTTATTAGGCATAGTAATAACACATGATTAATATAATATAATAAAGTGGATATGGTGTAAATGAATATTTTGTAGGAAAAAGTTAAAATAAGGCTTATAAATGGATTAGAAATAGCTAATATTAATTAATGCATGATCAAAAAACGTCAGAACGATCGGTCCTGTGACCGATATAGCTACTCCCTCTTCCGATTCATCCCACATAAATTTAGCTTGATTTGACAAAATTTAGTTAATAATTTAGTAACACCAAGTTATAGATGTCTTTTTTGATAATATAACTAGTATATAGTCACATGGCTGTTCGTTATAGAAGATATAATAATATTATATGGCTAATATATAGAGGCTGATTAAGTTCGTTCGGATGCGTTATATAGTGTTTTATTATAAAAGCTCGTTATATCCAGTGAAATTATTTATAAAAAATCGGTTCTGGAAATTCGGTTCTTTATAACCAGTGGCGACTGTAACTTTCTAGGGCCTTATAATTATGTTAAATCAATCATTATTAGTATAGTTCCTTAAAATACTAATATTAAGGCTTTTTTTAACAGTAAATCTTCCATCCTTTTTATTTGCCCATTTATTAGAGAGAGAAGTACAAAAATATTGCGTTCTAGCACATAAAATACCCGAATGTGATGAAATTCTTTCATATTTTCACCCCAGCGTAGATAATAACTAAAGTAATTTTTCAAAATAGTCAAGTACTACTACTTGACAGTATTCATGAGACAATTGGGACATATTTTTATAATATAGTTTTCGAGAAAATGTTGGAAGTATCTATATAATAATTTGGATTTTGTACGACCGTGATTAAATTAAAATTATCATGCTTAATTTGTTGTGAGCATGTCAAACTTTTCACGAAAAATATAAAATTTTGAGAAATAACGACAAGTAAAAAATATACACGAATTTGAAAGTTGTTGGGCTTTCGTTTTTTATTAAGATACGCCATTGAACAATTTATTGAGCACATTTTCTTCATAGTTTTCTGATAGTTGGTCTCCAAAAACACCCTTTTGATTGCTAGGCTTTTACTCCCTACGAAGAGTTATAATTTGATGTGTGGAGTCCAGTTGATTAAATGAATGGATAATTGTTAAATGATACACACTAATTTTAAATTGAGCTTATTAAATTTAAAATGTTCTTTCGATTGTTGAGTTTTTTGCTTTTCCATCACGTGTTTTAACAAATATCAAACACTTCTAGGTACCGTCATACTATATTATGATGATGACCCTGGATTTTAAAAATTCTTTATCATCTTTTTTTCCTTATTATTGATTTTTATGATTTTTGCTTATTTTATCGTTTTTTCCTTGGTAAAACGTAGCGTCACGTTTCTTTTTGAATATTTACTGCGTCATTGTCATATTTTATAAAATGGATCAATAATTTATAATAAGAACGTGAAACCATATTAATATTTTGATTATTTACTGTTCTACTAAAAATAAATTGAAAAATAGACCCATCCCCGAATGAAAAATTTCAAATGTGAAATCTTGATTATTTTAATGAGCGAGTCATTAGTACTACCTTCTAATTAGTATATTTTTCAATAAAGTATTTCATCAAAATAAAGTCGTCAATATAAATATGTACATTTATCTTAAAAGAGTTACGTATTACTTCAAAAATATTAAGTTTAATTTAAAAATTTCAACTATATTTCTACATTTGATTAACATTATTTTATTATTTTACGTACAGTAAGTATGTAATATAAAAGTAATAGAATAAAAATAATAATATGATTATAAATATACACTAGCAATCAATTCCACAAGATAAAATAAAATGAGATAAACAAAAGTATAAACGCTAAATTTCATGACCAAAATGTTTGCTATTTTTGTCTTATTTTCAACTTTTGTCTTTGATAAGCTTAAATAAATATTGTTACGTCATTAAATAATGACACAGTCGATAAATCTTTCACTCCAACATCGTCGGACCGAATCAATTTCGTTTAAAAAACTTTGTGTTCGACTTTTTTTTGATCTCCTTATATATAAAAAATTAAAACAGAAAAATAATTAAAAAACAAATTTTTACGTTAAATCTTTAGAGTCACATGATCGGATTTTTGTAAAAAATCATCCCATAAAAATAGAAATTATTTTTGCTGATCATGCAAAAATCTTTTATAAATTTAGTAACCTATTGTTTCAATGAATTATTCTTTTTAAACTTTGTTTTTGTTTAATTTATTGTTATAAAAATATGTCTTTTGAATATTTTCAAGAACTTTCTAATGATTTGGAAAAATTACTTACAACTGAAAAGGGATATGATGTCATTATTTACGTTGGAGAAAATGAAAATATAAAAGAATTTCATGCTCATTCGAGTATTTTATGTACAAGGTCGCAGTATTTCTGTTCAGCTTTCTCTAATGAATGGGCCAATAAAAAAGATGAAAAATTTATTTTCAAGAAACCTAATATTTCTCCTGAATTATTTAAAATTATTTTAAGGTAACATAAAATTATAAAATTCATCGTTTAGTACTTTAATAGTTATATAATATTAAATATTTTTAATTATTTAGATATATTTATTGTGGGAAGATTGATTTAACAAAATTACAAGGTCCTGAAGTATTAAAACTTTTGATTGTAGTGGATGAACTTAATATTCAATCTTTAATCTCTTGTATTCAAAAATATTTGATTAAAAATGAAGATAAGCTTTTGCAACAGAACCCTATAGAAATCCTTGAAACAGTTTATCAATATGAATCATTTACAGATTTATGGAATTATTTTCTTGAGAAGATTTGTGAAGAACCTGAAATGTTATTTAATTCTAATAAGTTTACCAATTTAAAAGCGCCTTTATTAAAATTACTTTTAAAACGGGACGACTTGAGTTTAGAAGAAATTATAATTTGGGATAATTTATTGAAATGGGGCCTTGCACAAAATCCATCCATTTCACAAGACTCAACAAAATGGAGCAAGGAGGATATTATAATTATGGAGAGATCTCTTCATGGATTTGTTCCACTAGTTAGATTTTATCATATTTCTTCAGATGATTTTATTGAAAAAGTTTATCCTTTAAAAAAATTATTACCGGAAAATTTAGTTGATGATTTAATAAAATTTCATATTACACCAAATAAAAAATTATCAAATGACAATGTTGGACTTCCCCGACAATCAAAATTTATTTATGACTCAACTTTAATTGAACGTCAACATTTTGCTGTTCTAGCTAGTTGGATTGATAAAAAAGAAAATTTACATTTAATAAATATTCCTTATAAATTCAATTTACTTTATCGTGCTAGTAGAGATGGTAATACACCTGCAGCATTTCATGCTAAATGTGATAATAAAGGAGCTACTATTGTTGTTGCAAAAATTAAAAATTCAGAACAAATAGTTGGGGGATATAATCCACTTTATTGGAATTCAATTGTTCATGATCTGTCCACATTTGATAGTTTCATATATTTTTTTGCAGATGTGAAGAATATAGTAACTGCAAAAGTAAGTTATAGTAATGGCAATGCATTTTCTATAGGAAATAATCCGAATTATGCACCAATATTTGGTGGTGGTTACGATTTATACCATCATGGTTACGGTGTTTGGTATAGTAATAATTATGAAAATACTACTTCTTATCCTAAAATTGATGGTATTCCTAGTGAAGTAGGATATAACAGAATAAATAGTGTAAAATTTAATGTAAATGATTACGAAGTCTTTCAAGTAATTAGAAAATAATATTTTCTTGAATGTATTTAAAATTAGTCATATTTAAGTATAAAAGTAAAAAAATATTTTCTTCAGTTGTTTATAAAGAGCGAAATATTTGATAAATATACAAATTTAAGAATATTGTTACTATAATAAATTTCATGAGAGATATTGTGATCTAGAATAAGCGAAAATCATGAAATTTAAAATTTAGGCATTTTTAATTACTGTTATTAACAATAAAATTAACAATATTACACAAATATAATGTCATTATCTTTGATTTCTATGATATATTACATGTACTTTTTCTAAAAATGATTTTTACTATACAATCTCTTAATTTCTTTTTAAATTAACTGTTAATTAATTCTCTGCGGAATATTTATTTTTTTTAAAATATTTTTTTTTTCCGAATATTTTAAAAAATTATTTACTCATCAACTTATTTATATTATTTTTTAAAAAAAGTTTATTACTATATAAGCAGAAAATACGAAAAATGAGTTTGAATACAAATATATTCAAGAAATTGGATTCAAAAGTTTCAGAAAAGTTTATCGTGCAAAATGGAAAAATTATGATCATTGTATCATTCATTAGGTAATTATGAAAACATATTTTACAATTTTTAGTATCTATTTAAATTTTATAGCTTAGACTTCAATTCATAGTAATATTATTAATTATTGATTTTTATAGAATAACAAATTTGTACCAGGTATGATAAAAAATATTCAATTCGACTTGGTGGTGGAAAAAGAATATAATAGTTTAAATAATTATTTCATTTATTCGTTAGAAAATTATAATGATCCTTAGTCCCTGACAGGGCGTTTCTAAACTGTTTAATGTGAGGCAAATAACTTAAAATGAATAATACTAATAAATAACTATACATTGTATTAAGAAATGTCAAATTGTGTATTTATAAAATGAAAGTTTTTGGTAAAATAAAAAAGGGAAATTTCCAAAAAAAGGGAATTCGAAAAAAAAATAATTACCGAAAAAAATTCTGAAAATAAAGAACAATATTTTGGCCCCAAAAAAAACTTTCATTCATGAAAATAAATTGTACATCATGAAGTAAATAATTAGTCATTATTTAGTAAATTACTATTATTGGATATTTATATTTTACGATTTTCATCAGGAGTTATATTCTATGTAGATTTACGTGAAAAAATATATGTAAAATTTAAATATACTATTCTATGTAGTTTTAAGGACCTAATAAAAATAAGTTTTTTTTTTTAGTAAAAATCTGATTTAATTTTAACTACATGATTATAAATTTTAGTATAAATGGCTAATTCCAAAAAAAACTTACCTTTGGTTTTTGCTTTTTATAAGGCGTTATGTTCGTACAACCCACGCTTCACGTAACTCCCGGTTCTGACCTACACCGACTATGAACAAAAAAAGTAAAAAATAAACTCAACCAAACGCGATCCATTTTACGTTATGGTCGTGATTCTTTAGATGATTCATAATAAATGAAAAACCATTAGCACTAAGCATACCAAAAGTGAATACAAATTTCTTTCTACGACTATGAACAAAAAAGTAAAAATAAACTCAACCAAACGCGGCCCATTTTGAGCACTCACTAATGGTTGTGATTCTTTAAATGATTCAAAATAAAGGTGAAAAATACTAATACTGAACATACTAAATAAGGATATAAAAATTCTACAAAAAAATGTAAACTGAAAAGATTCGAAGTAATAAGAACTGACTTAATTTCTTGAAGTGGAATTCTCTTTGTTGCATTTCTTTCCACTCATGCCATTCCACAGGTCCCTATAAATTAACATTGAAAGCTTATGTTAGTTCTAGCTCATTCACTTCAGGCCATAATAGTGAATACCAAAATGGTATTGTAAACAGTGACCATTTTGACAAGTGGTTGTACACCATAACCCAATTACCTTAGGGATAAACATACATTTCAGGAGTGACTATAAATATATGTGGTATCCTTCACTACTATCTATGTCCTCCATTATGACAGGTCATAATGTTGGACACCAAAATGATATTGTAAACAGTGACCATTTTGACAAGTAGCCATACACCATAACCCAATTACCTTAGGGATAAGCATACACTTCAGGAGTGACTATATATATCATGGTATCCTTCACCACCATCTATATTCTCTATTATGGCCATCAGATCCTTTGCAAGAGTGACTCCAGAGCACTTGGCAGACCAACTACTATATCTTAAAGACGGAGAATTTGAACCTGATGACTTATATTCAGGTACCTTAACCAAGGCTCCACTTTCAAAGATATAACCTTGGGGTGGGTTCTCGTATGATGGGCCCCGGTCATCTATTTGCAACCCTTTAAAGCCGTCCGGTCAGCCCTCATAACCCTTCGCACGTTGCTTTCGCGGTGTGCAGTCAAGGATTATGGTCAGTGGGTGATAGAATACTCTTTACCCACCTCTTTAAAAATTCCAGTTAGGTCGGAGGCAACGTTATTATCCATAAAAGCCTTTTGTTGTTCGTATGGACCGTCCCGTCATCTTTTTTTTTGTTAGGAGAGTTTAGTTTTATCCATAAAAGCCTTTTGTTATTCGTATGGACCGTCCCATCCTATTTTTTTTTTGTTAGAACTCGGAATAGAGTTTTTTTGTTAGTAGAGTGGTAGTGGCTTTTTTTGTCCCTTTTTATATTATTTTCTTATCCCGTGATATAAGTCTATCAACCATGACTAATAGTTTGTTTGATATATGAGTCATCTTTACTAACTCTTATTTATAATTTTAAATTTTAAATGGCCGAGCTATCTGATATCGATAAAGAAACAGCGTCACGAGTTTTTTTTTCTTTAAAAGTAAATTCGTTATAATAATTTATTTTCAAAAAAAAAAAAAATGAACAGCCTTAAATACAGCGGAGAGTCAAATAATATCTGAAAATAGATAAAAATAAAATAAGAATAATTTGATTAGATGGAAAAATAGGTTGCAGCATGAACAAAAATATTAAATTCTTTAAAAAAATCACATGTTATGAAAAATTTAAAATATATAAATATAAATTTTAAAATTTCTTAACCGTTTAATAATTGTAATAATGGTTGATAATAAACTTTTACCAAAATTATCACAAAATTTGCTTGAAATCTTTAAATAATGAAGATATTATGATATTACAATTGAAGTTGACAATGTCCCTGACGTAAAATATTTCGCGCTCATGTGGTTATTTTAAATTATCGTTCCCCTTATTTACGAAGACTCGAAGAGTTTTGTCAACAAATAAAAAGAGAAATGATGGAACTTTAGCGCACCAAATATTTCACCTGAGGTTTTAAGGTAAAAAAATAAATAAATAAAATAAACATTTATAATTATTATACTTTATTAATTCAAAAGTGTTTATTTTAAATATATTTATGGAGGGAAATTATCTTTGGAAGAATATGAGGTTTCGGATATCATCAAAATCTTGGTCACTGCTAATGAACTTAGTCTTCAAGAATTATTTTCTTATTTAGAAACTTTTTGATTAAAAGAAAATCTGATTGGATGGAACAAAACTTGATTTGATATATCGAACGAGTTTTGAAAATAATTCTTTTTATCAATTGAATTAATTACAAGTCTGGGAGCATGTGATTAAATAGGGATTTGCTCAAAATCTGGAACTTCCATCTGACATTTGAAAACTATTCAAAAGAGGATTTCAATACTTTAAAGAAGACCTTACAGCAATGCATTCCTTTAATTAGATTCCATAATTTAACTTCCTAGGAATTTTCGGAAAAAGTGATCCTTACAAAAAAAATATTTCCAAAGGAATTATATAAAAATTTATTAAAAGATTTTTAAATAACAATAGCAAACCAATTAAGCCAAATGAAATATCAGAACCTAGGATAGACCAAAAAATATTGATTCTACAATCATTACATTTCAACATGTTGAATTAAAAATTGATAGGTTAGAGTACACGGACAGGTAAAACATTTATATGAATTTTAAATTAATTTTTCATGGATCTCGTGACAGATGTACAGATGAAATTTGTGATAACAAAGCCTGGAGGACATAATCCAATTGAATGGAAATTTAATAATCTTTATGGTATTACTATAAATAATTTTATATTTTTTTTAGAAATAATGATTATATTTTAAGTCGCGTAATAAATGAAAGGAGCGCTACACGTAACTGTTGGAATTACAGTCCATCATTTGGAAATGGTGATTTGTGTTTATATGGGTTAAATATTAGTTGTGCAAAATAGAAGTTTTATTGTAGAAGTTGAAGTGTTAAAAATTTAAAATACCTTCAAAAAAAAGAATATGATTATTTTTAAATGTAATATATCCAATTTATAAATATATTTTCGCCAGCTATTAAAAATTTTTATGATCATGCATTTCATTCGCTTCTCTAGCATTTTTGATTCGTTATGTATCTGAAAAATAATCAATAAAGTTTCGTTCACTTCAGGACATTTGCATTAAAATTTTTTCTTTTGCAAAAACTGTTACGATTAGAATCATGTGATTTCGAAATATCTGCGCCATGCAGTGTAACTGATCAATTATCAATCTGTACATATATATATATATCCACCTGCAAAAAAAATCAATTTCTTTTTCGAACCACTTGTGAAACTTATTTTACGTAAAAATCATATATAGCTATAATATGTCACTTGATAATATTGTTGATGCTATTCCTGAAGAGCCTAATGAATTAAGTGAGCAAGAGCGGGACAATTTATACATATATCTTACTCGCAATGATACTAACTTAGATAATGTAGAAAAATTACTTAATCTCTGCAAGACAAATAACGCTAAGCTTGTATCTGTTTCTGGTGCGTTTCTATGATTTGCCTGTTTGTTATGTAATACCGAATACTTACTTAATCTTGTGCTTTTCTTTCCTGCTTCTTATCGTCAAACCCGTCCAAAAAACACATTCACGTTATCGAAGAGCAACCTGGTGCCACTGGTAAGTGAGTCGTAATAATTTTGGTCAGCGCGAGTGAACGCGTCTTGGCTCGATTTTTGTTAACTTGTTTCGTCGTTTCTCATCTACACTGTATGTTAATAATATTTTTCAATATTTTAGGGAATAAGCGACGAAAAATAAGTGATTTTGAAGGTGATACTGGTGATAATGGGTCTCTTGCAAAAGTATGGAGCGTGCGACGTTAATCAACAGGATTCTTACTATGTCCGAGGAAGTTTCTTATATTTTAGGCTTTTATGATGTTGGTAACAAATTATCCACCATCTTCATCCGGTGTTGATACGATGATTTGTCCGGTATCATTTATGCAGGTAAAAATCTCCGTCGTTGGCGTATTAGTGGTAATCCAGGAATTGGAAAAACCTTCCTCGGCTATTACCTACTTTATCAGCTCGCAGAAAAAAATGAAACTGTCATATACCACCAACACGGCAGATCTGCGATTCTCTCAGTGAAAAACAAGTTATTAGTGGTTCCGTTCACGAATTTCGTGATTATCTAGGTAGAGATGATGTTTGGTACATTGTGGATGCTCGGAAGCCGAAGGAATATCGCGGAAAGACTATTCTTATCTTCACTCCAGGTGAATTACTATAAAAAGTTTGATGGTCTTGGAGTAAAGATAATGTACATGCCGGTATGGTCTCTCTCGGAGATCAAACAATGCAAGAATAATATTGATATTTTCAAAAATCTTAAAGGCGAAGAAATTCTAGACTTATGTAATAAATGGGTGGGATTCCTCGGTATGTCTTGTTTCACGCTCGAAATTATGCTCTGCAGAGCCTTCTGGATGCTGGAATTAACGAAGTTAATGCGAATATAATGAGCTTTGTTGGTGAAACCACTCAAGGTAATGATATTAGTCATAGACTCGTCCATATCCGCACAAATGTACCAGAAGAAGAAGAAGCAGAGGAAGGAAAAGTAAATCTTTAGATCTTACACTTTCAGAATCTTCTATATCAATAAATCTCGAACCTCTCACAATTAGTAGCTTTTCAGAACCTTCTATATCCCTTTACATCGTCTACATTACGGGGACCTTCTAATAAACCTAGTGTGGTGCAGAATGATAATGAAGGAGTACCCTATTATAGTCAAATTATTCTAGAGTTCGCATCTGATTACGTTGCTGAAGGTGTAATAAACAGACTCTCGGAGATTAACAAGCAAGTGTTGCTTGATTTTGTGAAAACTAGTGTGGATGTAAATGAATATAGTTCACTCCGAGGAATAATTTTTGAGCGACTTGCTCATCAAAAGTTGCTGAATGGAGGAGACTGAATGTCATTCTTTAAATGGTAAAGATAGTAGTGAGTACGTTATTAATATGCAAAAAGTCCAAAAACGGAAAAATTATTGTTCAGCAATATTGATAAAATCCAAGCCAATAAATACTGTATTACCAACTCAAATGAACAGCAAGCCCTTCAATGCATTTATTTATCCAACATGTTTCTTCCAGACGACTATCGCAAAAAAGAGCGGTTTAGAAAAATATATTAAGGGAACAAGCGGTGATATTGATCTTCACTTTGTCGTACCAAAATTGATATTTTCAGATTATAAAAAGCAGCATCTTCACACTGCCAAGGGAATTGTTCTCCGAAATAAACCGTCCTGGTTAGATCGCTTCAAACAATATGTTATTGATGTTGATCTAAAGCTTAAAGATATACAGTTTCAGTTTATATTCTCATATGACATCTGGTGTTATTATAATTGATCTTTGTGTTTGTATTATTTTTTTCGATTGTATTCTTAAAAATTGATATAGTTTGCTGTAGTGCATTGAATAAAAATTGGATTATACATTGAAAATAGACAAAAGGAGCTTCGCTAAATATTTTATGTAACTTTCATCACTCGCTTGTCTGTTATGATGATGTCGAGGTTACATTATATCAATAAAAGATCTTGCCTATTCACCTCGTTCATGGTTAAAGCTAACTAATCTGGAAATGAGTGATAGCTTTTCATTCCGAAAAAAAATTATTTCTGAGGAAAGGTATACAGCTCAGGCATTGGTTAATAAAGAAGTTCGGAAACAACTTCCTGATACTGTTAGCGATGACGCACTTGAGAAGAAAAAAGAAAGGGCTCTGAAAATTTTTGAGCTATTCAGTGAATCGGCAAGCATATGATCCAGAGGATTAAATCTTTTTCAGCGTCAGCAATATCAAAGTTTATATTAACAAAATATTGATTAGGTTTGCATCCGTACTAGTTACGCAGGCATGTACCTTCAGTTGCGGCGGATATACAGTATAAAAAATTTATGTTTTCAAAATTCTTTTTTTAGAAAGCTGAGTCTCCGGACACATAGAATTTTGGTGAGAAATCGCAAGTTCATTTTTAATTCATTTTTTTTGGGGAATTCAGTATAGAGTTTTCTGTGAATATTTCTTTGACGAAACGTATATTAACGTTATGTTTTTTATCTTTTTAGACGATTTCTTCGAATATCTATGAACGCGGATTTTGGTAAGAGTGAAAAGTATTTATGAACTTTCTTTTAATGAAACGTTTATTAACGTTTCCATTTTTAACTTTATTTAGATGTGGCTTATTCTTCAGGTCTGGACGTGCGTATTTCATGTATTTCATGGGCTAGGTTCCACACTTTGTATTTTTCCTTCATTTTTGTATTGTAAATAATTTACGCGTATGTGATTATATCAGAATCTTAATTTAGTGTTTGCATATCTTTTATACTTTATAGCATATTGCTACTCAATATTTCACAAATAAACTCCCCTTCTTTACCTTAACATTTCGCAAATAATCTCACTATTTTTAAAGATTCTTGTTTATTACTGGTTGTTGATGATCTTGATGTTGAAACTGATAACGACGAACTTGAGGTTGATAATGAAGAAATTGACCTATAATACAAAGTAAATGAAAATTGAACCCATTATATCTAATAATTTTACAATGTTTAAGACAAAGAGCAGCTTGCGTTCATGAAATACTTGATAAAGTTACTATTGATGATCTTAATCATGGAAGTAGACTGGAAAGAGCCATGACCACATAGGGACTGCACTCAAACAAATGTATTTTTATACTATTTGTAATTCATTTTTTTTTATAGATTATAGATTAAACTAGTAAACATTATATAGAACATTATTAATAATGGTGATGCAGACATGATATTCTCATTTCGAACTTATAAATTATTTTGACAAACTTTATAATTTCTTACAACCACTGCACAAAAAAAAAAAAAGTTATTATGCATACTTTAAAACCTATTAGATTTTGCATTATTTGTCAGCATAAAGTTTATTATAAATATCAGTAAATGGTAAAGCTAATTCACCTCATTAGTATAAAAAGTATTAACCGATAGATCTAATCAACAACCTGCCATAACTTGTGATCTTTAGTTATTTATAAAGTAATCAAACTTGAATCAAGAAAATATGATGATTAAACTGCAGTCATTAATAATGTTCCATTAATAGCTTCTTTTAGCATACTTATCCTTTTGATTTTTTTTCTTAATTCGTGATACTGCAAATGATCTGCAGAAAACAGGTGGCGCCAAATAAAAGTAAAAAACCATGTGAAAAAAACAAACTTTGGGATAAATATTATGTATTAAAATATTTGAATGGGTTCACATAAAGAGCATTATGAAAATCGGGTATCAGAAAAAAATTACTAATGATCGATATAAAGCACCAAAATTATATATGAATTTTTTGCAGTATCACGGATTAAGTTTTTTTCCAAATTTTACTCCGGCGGTAAATATGTTGAAATTTTGGCACTTTTCGTCCTAAGTTTATACTTTAACCAATTGATTAGTTTTAACCAATTGAGAATAAATTGATTAAAGCTTTAATTATTTTAACATACAGTACATAACAAACAAATTATTTGATGTCAAAATTGGAATGATCTTTTGATGATTTTATTATATAACATAGAATGAAAATATATTATAATTTCGGATTTATTACTAAAATACACATTTAATTAAGTAATTATAGTATAATTTACATATCAATAATCTTTCAGACATTAAAAGCGTAGGCAGTATCCTCGAATTCGTGATTTTATTTGTTGATTTTTTTGCATAGACATGGAAATTTTATGAAATGTATCGATTGATAATAATTTAAACTGAGCCCTATAAAAAGAATGCCCGGAAATTGTCATCGAAAATGTTTGGAAATGAAAAAAGCAATATTCCGGACACTTTTAGGATACCAGGTCTGAGCCCTCCTAGACATTTTTTGAACATTTTCCGGAAATTCACAATATCTTAGCATCCGGAATATTGCAATTTTCTAGACACCGGACATTTCTGGACATTTTCGATGACAATTTCCGGACATTCTATTTTTATAGGGATGCAAATATATGATTATAATTGATGGGTTGGAATTTATGCCACTAGCTCAAAGAAATATGGGTAGCTTAGGAAAAAATAGTGGCTTCTAAAGGGATATTAAATCTTACGTGTTCTTGCTCTAAAATACTAACACAGAATAGTAGTATTTATCAGTTATTGAATAATTGGATTCAAATAGTCCTTCAGCCATCACTCTTTCAACCGAGTTTGAGAAACTATTTCTTGTTGTTGTAAGGGTTGTTACTTGTTTAGGTAACATGATAGAGTTTTTGCATATTTTCAGCCCTTTAATTAAATGAGTTGAAGGGAAAGTCTAAAGAATGGTAGGAAATAAATGCATAAATATTGAATTTAACAACAATAAGGATAGGTCAGAAATAGCAATAATGTTATAACAAATGATTGCACATGACTTCATAATTCTGGCAGAAGTTATAAAATTGGCCAGAATTACATTAAATAAAATCGTCTGGAAATATTTTAATCAAAATTTATAGTTTAAAAGAAACAAGCATTTCATGTAATACTAAAAATATAGTAAAATTTTCGAGCCAGCCTGAATAAGAAATAACAAAAGAAAATAACTAATATGTAATAAATAAAACTTCTGAAAATTCTTAAAGTGAAGCCATTTATGAAGCGCAACTTCAAAGAATTTTTATAAAAATAGAAAAATTAATTGTTAAAGATTTTTATTGTAAGAATATAACAATATTAGTTAAAGTAAACTTTAGTCATGTTTTTATTTATTATTTTTTATTAATAGAAGCTTGGACTTGAAAGAAGATTTTCTTGGCTATATATTTTTATAGATTTGTCATAATTTGTACAAGACTTTGTATTATTGTTACTAAATAAACCATTTCTTTTTTACCAACAATTGTATTTGTCAAATAGATAGTTAAAAGATTACTACAACTGAACGTTTTGCATAAAATTAGAAAGGTTATTTATTTATCTAGGGGATCCATTGTTTGAAACCTTTTTGTAAATGACTAATACCTAAATTTCAGTTGGATTTTAATTTTAAATTAGTAGATGATTTTAAACTACTTGATTAAAAAGTAGCAATAAAAAAAATATAATAGTATTAATGATAATGAAAATGATAAAAAATAGAATATTTGCTAATAATTTTAATAACTTCACTTCTTATTATATTATCTTTACAAAACATGGATTTATAGAGTTTCATTTCTGGTAAAATAAGAAAGTATTTTGACCAGTAATATATCCTTAAAAACATAACTAAAGTTGGATACTATTTTAATTTTAATTTAATTTTGGTCTTGGATTTAATTTCTCGTGAATTTGAATCCATATAATGAGTCCAATTGTATGTACTCTAAGAGTATAAGTTCAGTGGATTCTATTCATAATAATAAACTCTATTATAAGTCAGTAATGACCTGAAATAACAAAAAAAAATGTAAATATAAATTTAATATATTAAGCAATATATGTAAGCTTCATAATTAAGATCAATTAATTACTTGTTTCTAACTGGAACTCATCAAAAAGTTCATTGAAAAAATTGCATGCTAAGAGAATGGACTGGATTTATCTCTTTTGCTTTGTATATATATTTCATTAATCATTTCAAAATTTGAAAATTTTAAAAAATTATTAAATTTTTAATACTATTTATAAATTACAATGAAGTAATTTGATGTTTCATTATTTTTAGGGTATACTATAAACTACATTTATAAACTAAATTATGTATCTGTTTTTTTTAAGTTGATTTTCTTTTATTATTACTTTATCATATAAAACTTTTTTTATTTTATTTAATTTCTACCAATTTCAAATTTATAATTATAGATATGGATGTTAATCTATTGTTTAAGTTTCAATTATTAATTATATTAAAATACTAATATAGGTTAAAGATCTTTGCATGAAGTATAGAACAGATAGTTTTTTTTTATGAGTATATATAAACTGAAACTGCCAAATTAATGCATATAAAGAATATCTTAACTAAATATAAATATTCTAAACAAAAATTTTTATATTAAAATAATGGAAATATACATGAAAAGACTGAAAAGTGAAGAGATGAATTACTAAATTATAATGTAGTTTGTGCCACATGGAATGTATGTTCATTGGGTACGATGGCATTTTAATTATTAAATCGAATTTTTGGGTGAGTAGAAAGAAAGTCTTAAAATATTGTAATTTTCAAGTATTTTGACCACTGCAGTATATTTAATTAAAATCAGTCTAATTAACTTCTTTTAATAATTCTATATATATTTTGTGTTATTATCAGCTATGGTTAAGAATTAATTTTACAAGATATTAGTTACATCTTGTAAAAATAAAATATTACAATTAATTTAATAAACTAGTACATGATATGCGTGATTTAAAAATAATATACTGTGCAAAAAAATTTTTTTAGATTTATACTTAAAGAATAAGAATTTTTTATATAGGAATCCTCAAGGATCTGGTAATTCATAGAATCCTTAGGGACCTTTATAATTCATTTAAGGAGTTTTAAATTGCCAGATCCTTAAAGATTCTGGGTAATTTAAGGAATCTCTAAGGATCCATGGCCCAAAAAATTTACTGATAGTAAGTTCTTAAAGTTAAATAAAAACACATTATTTTCCAAAGAACTGCAATGAAATTATTGTTGAAGCTGAAACTGATGAATAAAATTCTGGAATGTTTTTTTGAGAAAAATCTGAAGATAACTTTTTAGACAGTATCTGGTGCTAGACTTTTATAAGTTCTAAATATATTTGTAGTAATATTACATAGTATACTAAGTTGTATTAAGTTTGTTTTGTGATTTGTGCAGAGTAATTTCCAATTATAATTTAAAGTTACAATAAACTTGCTAAAGAAATCCCCCTTAAGTCACATTATATAGTATTTATCATTTTTTTGGTCCTAAAGTATGTAATATAGGGAGTTGCTTGACTAATAATAAATTATATAGGATGTTAAAAATAATTGTTTCTAGAACTATGTATCATTAGTTGTTTATAATTAAATAACATTGTTAATTCAAGTTATTTATTATAATTACTAATAAAACTGTGAAATTATTTTACATAGTATACTAGTGAAATTATTAATATGTATTATTAAAATATTGAATTGCTAAGCTAAATTAGTTCTAATACTCTTAGAAAAAATAGATAATTATTGATTTACGACTGAATTAATAAATATTTTATGATTTTTCACCTATGTTTGTGAATAAAACAAATTTGGTTTCTAACTTCTTGCTATTATACTCCACCTTGATTGCCTTGCCTGAAAAACATCCTAATTTTTATAATGGCTGCCTGATGACAATTTCTTTACTAATTATAATATAGTATAAATTAATTTTATAGATACCTTTTTTTGTAATATAAAATTTTTTCTTTCTTTTGCAATTATTGACAAAAAGCAATTACTATGAAACTTTTTTACTTTTATAAATGTTATGAGTATTGTGTGATAATTTAATATCACCAATTTGAATAGTAAATTGATTTTTAATCTGTTGCTATAGTA